AGGATCAGTGGCGACTTCTAGTGCGAGCTCCTTGTGGCCCTGTGCTTCGAGGAAACGTGCAATCTTGTTCATTTGATCTTGCGGGATATCAGGAAGGAGTTCTTGCGCGGCGTCGAGTTCGTCTCGCAGGACGAGGGTCTGATAGGAGAGGAGTGCAGTAGAGAGGCTGTAGGAGACGACGCCGACGTCCTTGTCGCAGAGGTAGACGCGCTCATCACGTTGCAGATACCGTAGCAGGTACATTGGCTGGTCGAACTGGGCGATGTTCACGACTTGTTCGCCAAGGAGGTAACTCAGACGAGTGCTCGTGGTGAATATGAAAGCATCGCCAACCCATTCGCCGGATTTGACAGATTCTTGCAAATCGGTCACCACGGAAAAGGCGGCCTCGACGCCGTCCTCATCTGCGTGGCCGTTGTTGAGGCCATCAAGGTAGGCCTCGCGATCGAAGCGGAGGACGTAGGTGGTGTCGGAGCAGGCAAGGGCCACTAGTTCGCCAGACTCGCTCCAGTAAACCTGCCCGGAATCTGTCAGCCACAGTCACATCCATAAACTGATGATTATTACCTCAGTAGGCTCGACCTCAATTCTCCGGACGAGAGTGCCGGTCTCCCAGTCAAACATGCCGATTCCCCCTTGTCCCTTGACACCGAGTAGAGCACCGCCACAGAGGCCTTCAGCTTGAAAGCCGACATCGAGACTTCCGCTTTCTTTCAATTTCTTGAAAATCTTGACGCTGGTGCTAGATTCTCGGATCGCATAATCGGTTGGATTCTGATGTGATGCCCTTGGACCAATATTAGCAGATCGTCGTATCTCAGGTTGAGGCCACTCTACCATGCAAAATCAAGTGCTGAGCCGAAAGCCTGATTTCTCCATGCCAACGCTGTGTACTGCGCGGTTGTCAGAAGGATCGTCTTCGCAAAAGAGAAACGCCACGATGCTTACAATGATGAACTCTCCGTCACCGCAGACGCTGACAAACCTCCCGTTGGGTGAATGAGATAGTGTGGTTGGATAGCTGCATCTCTCGTCAGTATTTTCGCCTCGTATTTGAGGGCAATGCTCACATTTCTGTGGTGCCCATCTCCTTGCTCGGAAGAGCAATAGGTGCGCCATCTTTGAGCGTCGCATCTCCCCCTTTGATGATAGCAGATACTACCTCGTTGTGTCGCGCCCAAACGAGTTTCCCCGTTCCATCCATGGACACGGCTGGTTCCTCTCTGCCCATTTTCACCACAACGGCACCATCATCAAAGCCCATTGCGACGCCTTGTTTTCCTCTTTGGTACGAAACACACCAAGCCCTCTCCAGGCCATAGCTCAATGATTGCTCTAACCGATACGTATTGGCGTGCCATATCTTGATGGTCCCGTCTTCTGAGCCGGAGATGATGACTGGTAATTCAGGGTGATAGCAGGCGAAGCTGACATTACTAGTGTGTCCTTCGAGTGTTGCGATGAGAGCCTTGGTGGTATAATCCCATACTTTGACCGTCTTGTCATCGGAAGTGCTGAGTAAATAAGGCTTGTCGCTATGTGGGTAGTAGTCGACGTGATTCACACCTTTTTCGTGTGCCTCGATCGTCTGCTTAGCGGTGGCATTGTCGATGCTCCAGACCTTGATAGTGCGATCTAAGCATGCTGATGCAAAGACATTGGTATCCTTCGGGTTGATGGCAAGACCCATCACATAATGTTGATGTCCAACAAACTCACGCACACACCGCCAGTCCTTTTCCCAGTCAAACATCCGAATCGTCATGTCATCTGAGGCTGTCAGGACGACACTCAGGACAGGATGCACGACAATTGCGCGGATATAGTCTGGGTGCCTACACCCGTCATTGTAAGTCCACCTATTCGATGTCTTTGAGGTCACGAGCCACTTACGCCTCAAACGATTTGACCTTTTCACTTGTATTCCAGTTGACCACTCGAAGTTGGAAGTCATCGCTGCCACATACTATCCAGTTCTTTCTTTCAATGAATCTCCCTGCCCTCACAGGCACGTCGGTGAGCTCAAAGGTTTTGATGATCGATTGTGTTTCGTAGGACCAAATGTGAGCATGGCCATTGTACAAAGTTGTGAGGATCTTGGATCGTCAGTGCCTGGATTTAAGAGGGAGGTGTCCAGGAAAGTTATACCCATGGCTCGGTACTGCGTAACTGTTAGAACCCTGGACTCTCGTGGGAATTCAGTACTTGCCTATGGAAATCGATCCCCTTCACTCGCTCCGAGCCTTGACCAGGTTAGTATTGGTACTGAAAGTCGTGATAGTGAGACTAACGAGCAAAGAGTTGTCTCTTGACGTCTAGGCGCATCGCGGCATCAAATAGTCAATATGTGAGGATATTTGGGGGGCGCACACAAGGGTGCTGGCTCGGACGATCAGGGTGCGGTCAAAAATTGAACTGGGCCAGAAGGAAACCGAATGCAATATTCCATATCATCAATTCATTGTCATCATAAGCAGCGCAAGGCAGTTCATCAAATAGAATCGTAGAGGTGTCAAGGAACGTGAGCCCGCGGTGGTTTTGACAGAATGTCCCCAACCCAAGCCTCGCAGGCACATACATTGAAAGTTTATACGGATCCTGCCGCTTTAAAGCAGCCTTGTCCGCTTCTCCCACCTACAAGTGCTCAGTACTGGAACTCCTACACACTTCTGGATCCGCCTCCAAGTTCTGTCCTTTGTAAGGAAGAAACAAAGTTCAACCAGTCAACTGATAGACCTAGGTACTTTGGTCCTCTTTAGGGTTGTTGATCTGTAAGAGGTGCCTTGGAGGTGAATGCTACGAAGTTGTGAACGCAACTTTCAACGGACTTAGAAGAAGGGAGCGTCCTTCAGCTTCGTGAGTCTTCAAGCTGTGATGCCATGTATTCGAGTTCGCATCAATAGCAGAGCCGGTCAGGGTCAGTGAGCAGACCTCCTGTTATTCACTCAACAATACGCGATCTGCTGTGCTCGACTGTTCGACAGCCCACGACCCCTAAAGGGCGGATACGAAGCCCGAGGCACCCACCAACAAGTGACAAATACGAAGTACGCTCGCACTATGCACACAAGGCCGCATTTTCCGTCTGCGGATCAATAAGAGAGCTTTACCATTTCCATGATGATCAACAACAGAATTGTATCAACCACTACTAAGTACTCAGTCCCCGTACACGTACTCGTATAAAGTACACATGGCCAAAGCCCAGCTATACTCGGTTGTGGTTCAGGCACCCTGTGGTACTACTAACATGCATTCAGATACTCCCTAGTACCTAGGTAACTCCATATATGTACCTTGTAATCGTTCCCATCTTTTTCCTCCCCTCTACTACCACTTGTCCAAAGGTGACCTCCAACGTCCGACACAATTATGGCAGAACTCCGGCCAACGCTCCATCATATGAATGTCAGGTTACTCTAAACTTCCTTTCCTGCCCTTACTCACAATTTGCAGGACTCGCAGTCGCAAAGAATCCTGTGGCTCCTCGAGGAGCTCGAAATCCCATATGACATCAAGCTCCATAAACGCGTCAAGCAACGAGCCCCTCCCGAGTTGAAACAAACACATCCATTGGGAAAGGCACCACAACTAGAAACAGGCGATGGAAGAGTTATTGTGGAGTCACTGGTAATCGCCAAATACCTGATTGATAAATATGACAAGACGGGCAGGTTCAAGGGCGATGGCGAGAAGAATGACTGGATACGCGACGACGAGTTGTGCAATCTTGCTGCTGCCAGCATTGGCCCTCCGATGATTGTGGAAGTCATCATGACTGCGGCCGTCAGGTTGACACCTCTGTTCATCCGCCCGTTAATATCTCTGGTCCACAAACAACTCCATGCAGGCTACTCTGGACCAGAACTTGATGCGTTCTTCAAGTATCTGGACGATCAACTTGGTGACCAAGAATATTATATGGGCACCAACCCTGGTCGGGCGGACTTCATCCTCTCGTTCCCCGTTGACATGTGCGCGGCAGCTGGCTTCGTTGATCTCAAGAAATACCCAAGAGTGGAGAAATGGCATGCACGATGTCACGAACGACCAGCGTGGAAGAGGAGTCTGGAGAAGGGTAATGGTTACGAATTGAGCTTCAAAAGCTAGCGAGTTGGCGAGTCGAGCGCAGGTGTCCCAGACCTCTAAAGACTAGTGTGTAATATGTACATATGTACTCGATACTGGCAAGGCGTTCGACGGAGGATGGGTACCTCACCGGAAAGCGAGCGGTAGGATGACATGGATGTCCGTACGTCGCCACTCAATTACTGTCAATTTGCATTCCCCATGAGTTCATGACATTGGATGGTTGAGGCGGGGCACCGTTTTATTCATGCAATTTTGAAGGTCGGTCTCCATCATGAGACGTCTTAAGCGTACCTAATATATGTCTGCGCAGGACTGCAGTGTTGGGAATTGACATTTTACGAGCACGAAACCCCATCCAAAGGCCCGTGAGGCCCGGAACAATGGTCACCCGGGGCGTATACTTTGCCTAATCGCGCCTAGAAGAGCCGGTTCGCCCACCATGACCTCGTACTCTTGGGTACAACGTTGGGCGCTACGATCCATCACACCTCGCTTACAGGCACGTCTTCCACAAAAACGCAATCTTTGCACCCTCGCGAGCTCCACCACCCACCAAAATACACCTGGGCACTCCGTGGCAGCGCTTTAGGGAATGCAACATTCGTCACTTCATTGGGCCATCTCGGGTTGGGAGGAGATGTTTCAAACCTGGATAACTTATCTCGACCCCCCGAGGCGAATACGCGTATAGGTGGTGTCCGAACCTATTGACCGTAACGAGGTACTCGTCGTGCGCTTCGGTTGCAGGTCTCAGGCTTCTTTTCCCCAAAACTGCCCCCTTCATAATCACACCGAATTTTGTCTCTTTCTATTTCTTTTTCTCTCCTCGATCTGCTGAAGCGTTCAGTTTTACATGGTATATTCTTCGCTGGTGCCGCTGTCGACCATCTGAGTCCCCGAGCAAAACAATGTCTTCAAATACGACCACCCACACGGCCCGTCGCTTCTGCACCGAAATTACCCCCCAATGCCCCGTCGGACTCACCACATATGGCTACTATCCCAATCTCAGCGTCAACTCGTTCTTCATTGCTCTCTTCGGCCTCTGCATGCTGTTCCAGTTGGGTCTTGGAACGTGGCGGCGGACATGGACATACCTGATCGCACTCACCATCGGCTGTTTCGGTGAAGCGGTCGGATATATTGGGCGGATCATCATGCACAACAACCCTTGGAGCGGTGCTGGTTTCAAGACGCAAATCTGCTGCCTGGTCCTTGCCCCCAGCTTCCTCGCCGCGGGGATATACGTCACGTTGAAGCATTTGGTCATATACTGTGGAGCGGAGAACTCGAGACTGAAGCCTAGGCTCTATCCCTGGATCTTCATAGGCTGTGATTTTGGCTCTATCATACTCCAGGCCATTGGTGGTGGCGTGGCTGCCAGTGCAGGCGACCGCGGTGGGAATCCCAAATTGCTGGATGCGGGTAATGGGTTGATCGTGGCGGGCATTGCATTCCAGGTGGCAACCATGGGTGTCTGTGGGCTTCTCATGATCGACTACTACATCCGATTCCAGCGTGCAAAGAAGGCCAGGTCGCAGGCGACGATGGACAGCGAGTACGAGAAACATCTGTCCTCGCCCGGGGTATCACGCAATTTCCGAATTTTCTGCTTCGCGATTGGGCTGGCTTTCGCTACCATCTTCATCCGTTGCATCTACCGGTACGTCTCTCCTGAATGCTGTTGTACGCAAAAAACAAAAAACAAAAACAAAAAAAACTGACACATGGATGATGGACAGTCTACCCGAGATGGCAGGGGGCTGGGGAGGCCCTCTGATGAGAATTGAGACCGAGTTCCTCATCCTTGATGGAATGTGAGTTTGGCTCCTGGCTCCCGATCCCTCCCCAGACATGTGCGAATACCAGACTGACATGACATTCCTCCTGCTCCAGGATGGTGGGTATTGCATGTGTTCTCCTGACCGTGTTCCACCCCGGCTTCTATTTCGAGCCCATGAGGAAATTCAAGAGACAAAACTCGGTTGCCGAACCCGTGGAGCAGCCCGCGACGGTGGAGGGCAAATCTTGAAGACATATTCGTTCATCCTGCCAACTTCTTTCTTAGTGTTGTCAACACATGTACAGATGACGGGACATAGATATAGAATATATAACATGTACCAATGACCTGATTATTTAATGTTTGCTGGAACTCCATACTCGTAGGCCATGGGGCTGATCTTTTTCCGGCCGCAAGGATGACGCTGCCCACTTACGCGACTAGTATCCACGAGCCTCGGCCTTATATTGATGCCGAGCTTAGGGACGTATTGTTCCTCGCAAAAAAATCCCGAGCAAATACGACGCTTGGACGCTTAGATCACCCCCCAAGCACCCAAGCCAAGGGAACCTCGTCCTTGCGAAACGCCATCTCCTGCTGGGTGAGGATGAGGCTGGGCCCCAGAGTCCGCGACGCCCGCGACTTTCCGAACACGAAAGGCAGAAAAGGCGTGTGTGGTGCCAAGCGAATCCGGCCGCGGATACGAGGCTTCGTTTCTGCCAAAAACACTCAAGAAGCACTCAAAGTCAGCTTCCCAACTCATTTCGTCCTCAAACACCCACCTAGGAATATGCGACATCGTCGGTGAGGAGCGCAACCACCCCGCCGGCAGCCCTTCATCATGCCTTCTCGACGGTCGCATACCAAATCCCACCACGGGTGTCGGCAGTGCAAAGCAAGGAGAGTCAAGGTCAGTGTGTGCCCCCCTGGGGATTGACGTTTCAACGGGACTTTTGCCTTTCCCCCGGGATCCATAATTGGTGCAGTAGTTGGTGGTAGTGGGAGTGGTGGGAAGTGGGAAGTGAAGCCATTCCTCGCTTAGTCGTCGCTGAGTCTGGCTTGATATCATTGTCTCTGCTGTCTGTTGTCGTGTTTGTCTGCTTGTTGTCGGTCCTGACTCAAAAGTGCCCAGTGTGACGAGACAAGTCCTCAGTGCCAGCGCTGTGTGAAGCGACAAATCCCCTGTTCGTTCCTCGGGAATGGTTCCGAAGGGTTCCCGACACCCCCAGCAAACACGTCCACCCACGATACATCGACTCCCAAGAGCCTTGACCAGCAGCAGTCAGATCCCGAGAAGACACGCTTTGGAGCACTATCCACTCCGAAAGCATCATCTCCGTTGGCAACGGAGACAGACTCTACCAATGTCGCCAAACGCTTTGATATCCTCGACATGGAACTCATCCATCATTACTCTACTCGAACCTACATGACCATGTCCTCGAGGCTCGCCACCCATACTGTCTGGCGGGATACTATCTTCGCCGAAGCCTTGCGCCATGATTATCTCTTACACGGCTTGATGGCTACTGCGGCTTTACACAAGGCCACTGTGCTGCTCAAGACATCGGATGCGTATGCCGAGTACTCCAAAGTAGCCATGGCTCACCAGAATGCTGCCTTGGCTGGATTCATTCCGGCAGTCAGCAATCCTACTCAGGACAATGGCATCGCCTTATTCTCGGTCTCTCTCCTTCTCACGATCTGGGCCTTTGCATCGAAAAAATTACCAGAGGGTTTGGATCGTGTGAAGCTGGACTTTGGCAGGGGGGAATCGTCCCCAGGCATCACTTTGCCACTGAACTCGCCGACGGCCGACTTCATTGAAATCATCATGATCCTCAGAGGAATCTACGCGGTGATCAGAGAGACCGACAAGTGGCTTCAAGGTGATATTGAGGAGCTGCTGCGCTATCCGCGCAGTGAAGATCTGCCTCCGCATTCACCAGAGGTGGAGGAGGCGTTTAGCACGCTCCGCAATGCCCTGGACGATCCTCAATTATCGTCACTTTGGGAGGGCGATGACTCTCAGCGAACGAGGAATCTGTTTCTCGAACAAATGGAGCAGTTGCGTGACATCTCGAGATGTCGTTCTGTGGTCGAGTGGGATGGTCACATATTTTCCTGGTTGATCATGGCACCATTGTCCTTCATCCATTGTCTGAAGCAGAGTAACCCCTTGGCCCTGGCAATATTCGCTCACTGGGCTGCCATGTTCAGGTGCATGGATCACCACTGGTGGGCAAATGGCTGGGGTTACAGCTTGGTTGTGGATGTGTCCAGCCTGCTGGATCCTGTGTGGGCGAGATACTTGGATTGGCCCAGAAGACAAGTTGGGCTCGTGTTCCAGGGCGGCGGAGCTTTCGACACACGACGGATGACCTGACAACTGACTTAAAGTGCGCTGCTTGTACAAGTTGCTCAAACGAACCTGGAATTACTAATTTCTCATGCCCATACCCGGAAGTGCGAACATTGTCCGACTTGGAGGATGACTGAGAAGACGCACCCTGTGGCTGGCAGCCACGAATTCGAACGCTCTTGGGCTGGAATCGAGACGTCGAAAATGGCTGCGGCGAGGAGCGTGGACACAGAAGGAGCGCTCTACACCATGGCTCTTTTCCAACGTGAACGCATGTTCCCGCCGGATTACTGTCCTGACTGAGGTTCTCAACCGGTCATTATTATCCGCGGCGCAATCATATTATTACTATCAGTTAGTGTGCTGACAGTTCGAAACCATGTCTGTCACTTTTCGCCCTCTTCCATCAGTCAGCAGTGCGCCAGACAGCCTGCGAAACCAGCAACTTCTAACTCCTCCTATGTCCCACAAGAGTGCCGAGGACATACCTTTTAAACCTGAAAAGCCTGATGATATCAGCTTGAGCATGAAAAGGAGTGGGAACCATCGACATGGACAACACGAGATCTCCTGTCAAAACGAAAATGCTAGTCACAAAAAGAAGTCTGGCCAGTGCAGAAACCGAGGATCTGGTACCCGGCATCGCTCGTACAGCCTACGCAAAGCCCTCTCTCTTCCGTCGGTCCAACCCCGATTTGATCTCGGAACTGTCGAACTTCTTCAGAGCCCCCAACACAGAACACGACGGTGGACAGTTCCTTCCAAAGCTTCCTCCACCCAGGGGCTCGCTACGCTTGTGCCAGTCGATGTCAACGCATGTACTGCTGATCCGTCCTGCGTCATAGAATTCAATTCAGACCGGAGCCCAGCAATGATCACGCTGCGTCGCGCGACGACTACGAGATCACGTAAACAGACTTCGCTCACATCATTCCCGCCACCCAAGTTCAGGCGGCATGGCAGCGGACTGCTCTCGACGTTTTTGAATTCGATCACCAGATGCGACGAAGTCGTCAGCCATGACAATACGGAGGTAGATCGAACGAGGCAGGTCGTGCAGAAGCCACGTACAGCGTCCACAGTAAGCAAAGGAGATATTCGGCCGTCGACCTGCGCCGCTGCTCCACCTGTTCAAACCGAAGTCGTCACGGTAGAACCCCGGTTGTCGTGTTCCGCACCAAATCAGTCAGCCGCGCCCATCCGCCGGTGCTCGACACGCTACATTTCGAACAATGTGGTGTATGAAATTATCTGGGACGAGAATTCTACTTCGAGTAGCTCCGATGGGGAGCTTCCCAACGTCTATGGGCAGGCGTCACTATTCCAGAGCCAAGATCTCACTAAGACAGAGACATTAGAGCGACGATTGTCGAAAACTCTGTCACAGTCACGACGAGAGTCCCTTCAGGGGGAATGGAGGAACAAGAACAGCCATGCGGCCAGCAACGTGTTGTCTATGCAAAGCCTGTGGACCAATCCCAAAATTTCCAGGCTCTTCCGCGAACCAGCTTCAAGAAACCTGGGTCAATCTTTGGCTTCCAAGCGTGGCGAGATGTTCCCCTCTTCATTGACGGACGTGAATGTAGACGTCGACCTCAAGCTTGGAGCCCCTATAGGAGCATCCACTAACGGTGTCGAGTTCTTCCCTCCTCTCCAAAGTCGGGCGAATACCAACGGAAGTGATAATTTATTGTCTCCGTGGACTGCAGGGTTCAAGGATATTTGGGGAGCAGTTGGGCGGCGAGACCCGATCCCATGTAATCCGTTTGAAGAAGGCTCCGGGTCAGAGGTAGAAAGGAGTCGTTGTGGAAGTATGATTGGGATCAGTTCGCGCACCAAGCGAAGGACTGCATCTGCTGAAGGGCACCTACAGAGACACTGGACCAGAAGTCTCCAGTCCTGTAGTAGGGGAGCGAGTGAAAGCAGAAGGTCAGATGACGAGATGCTTCCTTTGTTACAGATGACTTGATACGATATAAGTGGGACAAGTCGTATGGGGAAACAGGACTACGGGTCTGATCCCGGTGATGCAGTCTTCAGCCGACCTACACATCACTAACCCCGTACACAATACGGAATAACACCACATTATCCTCATCAACATGCAATTATTGGGGGAAGGACAATCTAGCCGTTATGACCAGATGAAAGGTGACCATCGCGGGATTCCATTCATACCGTACCCCAGAATTTAACACTGGCTTCCCCTCCCCTGGACCCGCTCCCGGATCACACTCGACACGGTGACCCGAGGCCCGAAGCGAGATGGTACAGGGAGCTCAGCACAGCCAGATAGAGTTTTTATTTGCATCCCTAGACCAAGTAGATGGGAGAACGGTATCGTGTAAGACGAGGTGGAAAAATTCCTGGTAGGTCACCACGACCGCCATCACCGAGTAGAGAAAGAGATGTCTTGATAAGCAGTGTTTCGGAGCCTTTGAGCGAAAATCGTGCCCTGGATCAACCTCAGATACGGCTATCTCCCAGTATCTCAAGCGAGTAGAAGTGCCACTCCAGAGACCAAGGAAAAGACTCTTATTGTCGTCGTGGAACCCACTTGTAGCCACGGAATCACACCCGCTCCCTCACACGGGCGGAGCAGTTGACAAAACACGACTTTGTGTGTCAGAGAATCGCGACCATGGAAAGCATTGCTTCCGAGCCCTACCGCCACAAGCTTTATCCGGAAGTTGAGATTGTACTTGTTCTCATCGGCCCCCGAGCCATATTCGCGACCGGCTTCCCGCCATTCGCCATTTGGGTTCCGATGGACTGGAGCCTTTCAAAGGAACCGAGCCAGATGTGGAATCTGGATACGAAACGATTGCTCGGTACGAGTCCTTCGAGCAGCAATCGGCGCAGGGGGAGGGCCATGAGTGGTGGACTTGGCCAGTCGGAAAGATTGTGATTGCGTTACTCGTGGACGGGGTGGGTGGGATCAGAGGAATAAGGAATCACTCCGGGGCCTACATCGCTGGATGGGGTGATGTGGTGACTCGTTGTACCGAGTTATGTATCTCGTACAAGCACGAGGTACTGGCTCGCTGGGTATCGAGGGGAACTCCATGTTGATGGCGTTTGGTCGGTCGGCAAGGTTGCCTGCGGCTGGGGCGTCGAATAGTGCGTGTGGGCTGAGTAGTGAGCGAAGGAGACTGACAGCCCCTTGGCAAGTAGAGAGACCAACCAGACAATTGGGCAACGTTGCAAGCGATCATCAACACCATCCTCCTTGATGAGTATACTACCTAAGCACCTTCACATCTATGATCAGTCAGCCGCAGTAATTGCGCTCGCAATCGACACTCGCCGTTACCCAGCTAGGCAGTTATCCAGTCCTCGCCTTCTTTACCTTCCGGGACCCGAACATTATCTGCGCAAGAGTATGAACGATTTCCGAAGTACCTGCAATATCTCCGGGTGCATAAGGACCCAGGCCTATCAGTAACGCGCAGTAATGCGCAATATATTGTGGTTCCTGGCGTAAGATAATTCTGCCGAGTGCGCCCCGGTCACAGTGGCTCGGTGGCTACAAACCCCAGTGGTTCAGGTAGCAAAGCCCTCGATGGGCCCTGGCCTCGCCTCCTGGGCGGTGGTGCCTCCCGAGCCTACGAATTCCTTATCCCGTCATCTGGCGCGAACCCCCGGCTACCAGGTGGCCTTGGACTGTCTGGACTGGCTGTGTTGGCAGCCTCTCAACCTCTAGTGCCCCCAGAGTGTGCCGATAGGCTTCCTCACTCACCCAACCCGGCTGCTGCTTGCTACCACCAGCATTGCTTCTTGCTTCTGCGGCCTTTCCCCATCTTCCCAGTCAACCATCTCCAAACCCTGTCTGAACCACACACCCTTTCTCTTCCTCGACCTTTGACTCTTGGTTCTCCCATCCTCCTTGTCTAAACGAATCTCTTTCTCCTCTTTATACAACAGTTGCCATTTACAATCTTCCACCACGGTCCGCTATAGGCATATACTCTCACACCCAATCGGCATATCGCCGCCTGTTCGAGTTCGCCGTGTCCCCTCCGTCCTTCTTACTCGTCGAGTCGTCGAGCCATTAATTGAGCCTACCTTCCTCGACGTTCCTCCCTCACCTGCCTACATTGTCGGGGACACTTTTCCTCAAGAGAGCGCTGTATATTGTTGAGCCCGCCCTCTATCTGAGGTTGGTTGGGCTCTGGGCACGAGACATCGGCTTGTCAAGATGCCCTGGTCATGACATCTATCTCTCCGGCCGAACCGCGGCCTCCCCTACTGCGACGTTCAACTGATTCGAATCGACCGCCCCATGGGAGAGCATCCAGTCATATCTTTTCGCCCCTAGACAAAAAGCCGCCAACATTACGAAGGGAGACTGTAGAGACTGGGGAGGACAGGCCTATCAAAAGGCGGAAGATCGAAGCTGACTCTAACTCGAATCAAGTTGCCAACCACCACAACACCTCACTTCCCGACAAAGTCTCCGATCCACATGTCGATAATAAGACCGTGTACTGGCGCTGGGTGAGACCCTCAGCAATACGAGCGGCAGTCGCCAACTCGCGGAGTAAGGAAGAGGAGGATACCTCGAGTGAAGACGGCCTACTTGAACTCCCACCTCGGCCCTGGCGAACCGCTCGAGTCGCGAAAGTTGCAGACAAAGCCGCTCCGACGCACCGATCACGGGTTGACATCCCTGTGCCCAATACTCCCGATTCAATACAAGTTCCATCCTCCGCGCCTCAATTTGTTCTCAAGAGACCGGTCGGGTTCTTCCCATGGACGGGGAAACACCCGGAGGACATCTTAAGCGACAGCAATGTTAAGAACGGCTATTTTGATAAACCTCCAAACCCCACTGAAAAGGAACTCAACACCGCGCGAGTCCCGCTCTACAATGCCTTCAAACACAAATCTGGCGTGGACAGTTTATCCACTCTCTTTTCTCTCGTCTTGAACCAGAAGAGCCAACATGGCATTATCAGCTCTGTCTCCACGTTTAAGCCGCCTCCCCGCGTTACCTTGACCGAAGCGAAACGGAAATCGTGGATAGCCGATCTAGCCAATGCGGACGTACCCTTGAGACGATTGAGCAGGACTATCCCCCAGGGTATCAAGGGCCAGACTCTTCTAGATTTATGCTTACAAAGCTCAGTCCCGTTGAGTCGTGCGATATGGTTCGCCAAATGCGTCTGTGCTAATGAGGTTCGCACTTTGAAGAGGAAAGGCACCACTCCTGCGGTGGCTCTGGGTGCCGAAAACAAATGGCTTCGCGAATGGACACTCAACGTGGAGCAATTTTTGGAAACCTACCTGGGACAAGCCAACGCATCTGATTGGAGATCAAACATTCAATACGCATTGCGGTTGAATACCCGTCTCTATTTAGAGAACCTGCTGGACCGAGGTCACTACTTGGATTGGATTTTGCACTCCTTCACTACAGCAGCCATCAGCCACACGCCTTTCTGGCTGATGGTAATCCATATTTACAAGCAAGACTTGAGCCAATACCGAAGACGAGGAGCGAAGCTCGCCCAAGCACTGATTGACAAGTACCGTTCGATCGACAAGCTCTCAGACCAATCGATAAGTCCATTGAGACAGAAGCTGCGGGCGGCAGTCCGCGAATTATTGTTCTCACGCCCCGCTATCTTCTTGATGCCAGATCGCTGGCCTGAGAGTGTGCCAATTGTTCAAACCTGCCTTGATACAACTATCGGTCCCGAAGGGCTGATCCTCGAGGAACTCAATCGCATCAACGAGAGAGCAATGGGATTCAATAAGACAGACTTCTTGTCTGTTCGGTCCCCTAGCGAAATCATTGTCGAAACTCTCGATAAGGCCAGGGTGCCATATAATGTTGCTCTCCTTGCAAAAGAACTAGATGAAACCTCTACAGACTTCGACCTCCTCCTGCGATCGTGTCTTGAATGGTCATGTACGCGATTCCGACAGTCCAGAACCCGCTTATATCTGGTCACTCGTTTGGTCAAGCGGTGGCAACGAGGCGGTCGTGACATTGACACACCTATCCTCAATTTTCTTTCCGCTTTTCGGGAGGGCAAGACGACCGCTGATACCTTGTGCTTAAGACACCTAGTTGCACAGTTTTCCCGATCTGATTGCTTTCCGCTTAGCAAATACTTGCAATGGCTGATGGTGAGAGGCCTTCCAGAGAAGGGATCGGTCTGTATCGACACTGAGTCTATCTTTGGCCGAACAGCAAAGGTTGAATCATACAGGGACTTTGCGTCTGTTCAGTTTCTGCTCGACCTGTCATTGCACCGAGCAGAAGACCACGTCATCAACTTACGGAATTCGGTTCTTGAACGCGCAGGTTTCGATCCCGGCGCAGAAGAGGACATTTTCGAACGGTGTGTTCAGTATCTTGAGCAAAAGCTGGCAGACGCTAGTTTCGTCACGAAGTCTGAGCCACCAACTCTGCATGAACCTTCTTTTGCGGCGTTGCCATGGACTCTTCGAACTAGAATATCTATGTGGTTACGAGCAAGAGCTCTCGAAGCGGCAAAATCGGCACAAAGCACTCCTATGTTGCCTGGGTCCAAGGTTTTGAATGAAGAACAGTTCTTCATAATCCGTCACATTCTCGAGTGCATGGAAGATGAGGCGGTCCTTGCAGATGTGGTCGGCATTCTCTCGGTATCACAAAGGGATGATCTAGTGGCATCTCTCGTCGCCACCGTTCACTTCCATGCTGGTTCCTTTTCCGCCATCGGGGCTCTTGAAGTCCTGCAAAAAAGGATGTGTCAAATCTACATGAATTGGCGATCTACTAAACCGACGATGCCGCTACTTACTTCGACTCTCTTGGATCTATGTACTGCTTTTCCAGTCAAAGCACCTGCAATCAGATTGCTGCAACAGGACCTCGTTCGAGGAGACCGTGGGCGTGCAGTCGCAGCCTGCTCACCGTATAGTGACGGCATCGCGGAGTCGTTGCAGCAAGCGGGTGCCACCTTTGTGGAGGATTTCGAGGCGATCCTGCAGTCGGAGACCAATATGAATGAGCAAACCATGAATGGCCTCTTCTCGGTTTTGGTGGATCGCATTGAAAAGCAACAGAAATTTGAAGATGATCCGCGCACCTTGCAGTCATTCTGCCAACTTCTCAGCCGGCTTCGATTGTGCCGTAAGGCCCAAGGAGATCTGCTCACTCAGAAATGGATGTCACAACTCATGTCTTGCCTCGACTCGAAATCCGGTCCTTCATTTCTTCGAATCCTTGTGGCGACGGGCTGCATCACATTCGCTACCATTTTCGAAGCCACGCCTGGCTACAAGTCCGGAGTACGGAAGAATTTGGCAGTCGCTTCCTTCCTGTATCAAATTCTCGCCCCGCCCAGTTCCACGTCACTTGACTGGGCTGCGTACCAGACTCGGACTAGGTGGCACGAATACTCGCTGAAAGAACCACTGACGGCCTTGGAAATCGTATGCGAAGCCGGCCTGCAAGGCGTATCGCCAACTTTTGACTCCCTGCTTCTGGTTGTGCTTGTCAACAGTTGGTCGCCAGACTCATCTTCCTTGCCCGAATCCGCCAAGAAATGGTTCGTCAAGTCACTTAGTTACGCACTGAATTGTTCGGATGGTGATCTAAATGCGACTGGTCTTCAAGCTCTGCTGGAATCTATCAACGTCTTTTCCCACCGATTTGTCCAATTGCGATTCCGACTTGCGTCCCCAGCCTCTGTCGACAAGGCATCTGGACTGGATGAACCAGACCTGATCGAGGTACTCTCACAGTCATTGAAACAGACTCTACGGAACCCGCCTTCTCCATACGCAGGGCACCGGCAGCGGTTCTCACAGCTGTTTCAGATTGTTGGACCTGATGTAGCCAACCGGGTCCGCCACAATGTCGAGAATGAGTTTTTGTATGCCTTGCCGAAGCTGCTGGTCGGCAAGGTGACCAGTCCACTCTCAGCGGTGTTCCCTGACGATACACAGCAGCTGTCTGCAATTATTGAGCAGGCGTTCCAGGTGTGCAGGAAAGAGACCAGCCCGAGTCCTGGGTTCCTGTCGCACCTAATTGATAGACTTTCACAACATCTCAAGTATCTGGGTAACACGCACAACACTCCGGCTACACCTGCCGCTTCGGCCACGACAGCCCCGACAGGCTTTCCGGGACCTAGCGGGTCTTCTACCACTATGACCCATTCTCAAATGGTGTCCATGTCATCCAGTCCGGTTGCCAATACATCAGATGTAGGAGGTGGCTCTTGCCCCCCCGTAGGCTTGAGCTACTTGAGATGCATACTACAAATGGTGTGTTTGCAGCGTCCGACATTAATCTCGCCAGGCTCCAATGGGGCCAATGTCAAACAGACGCAGAACGAACAACTTCAACTGCTTGTACGACTGGCATCTATAGCAACGCACCCAGCCATGGCTCTGGTGACGGGACATCAAGGCACTCGGGAAGAGCAGATCAAGGCAAAAGAGGTGATCGAGTTCGCATTGGACGTGATAGCAACCATTATCGACGGCGTCAGTGACGAGGTCCATTTGATGTGCGCAAAGGTATTGAAAGACAAGTTACAGGACACCAGGCTCTGCTACTTGTTTGGCAGCATCAACCTGATGGGATCAGCACAGGTGCAAGACATGGGCCGGGGTTTGCAGATGGTCAAAGAAGGCAAAGGCATCATCGGAGAGTGGAAGCCACGAATGTGGGAAGTTTTGGATAGTGGCAGCGGTAAAGAGAGTGAAACGTCTTTGGGACTGGGTCTCTTTCGAGCCCGATATGGATAAAGAACGGGGTCTTCGAGACGCCAACCGCCAACAGGGGAGCTGGTGAGCAAGCCAATGTGCAATGACGACTGCGTCTACGGGAGAAGTCTTTGGTGTTGGAAGCCTCATTTCCTACTTCATCTACGGCCATTTTACGACGTCACGAGGAAAAGGTTTTTTGTTTATTGCAGAAGATTTGTGTGGGGAGTTGACTGAACGGATCAGCAGGATTGGCCTTTTCTTTACTAGACTTTTGGGGACCCCAGCATTGCCGGCCGGACCATGGGCGATTCGACGGGACCGAATGTCATTTCCATGCCTATAAAGCTTGGAAACTCGTTTGAAGAATACTGTGTATGGGAAAGGAGGCGGCCTCAACCTAAACACTACATATTGTACAGCCAGCCAGTTTTTAGAATTAGCGAGTAAGGCTATCACGCCTATGCTCTATCTAGCACACGATCTTATATCTTTACACCGCAACTTGAGTCATCTGATGTGAATTGCTTGGGAAGTTCGGAAGTCAGATCTGTACACGGCAGGGAAGAGGTCCGTAAGGGGTAGTAAGAGATGCTCGAGAGATGTTTGGGATAGCTCAGGGTGATCAAACAAGGATTTTCCGAGGTCGGTCAGCAGGTCAGTTTTGGAGGGACAGAGGGTCAATCACTGGAGACCAGGATCAGCAACTGGTTACATTAGTGTGCAGACCGAGGGGCACCGGGGGACACCGACTGTGTTGTACCGAGTAAAGGCCACATGCTGAGAACGCTGTTGACCCTGTTGACTCTCGGCGACCCTTGAAGGCCTGGGCACATGAGGTGCTGGCGCAGGCATTGGTATGCAGGTATGGAGCACAGACGCATGGCAAGTCATGCACGCTCCCACGGCATCCCACATACACAAAACCCAGCACATGCAATGTGACGTGATGGGCCTGAATGAAGGACAAACACTTGCACCGGCTTTGCACCAAGGATGATTGAGCAAAGCAGTTGTTGTGCTCTGATTGCTCGCTGAAGAAAGTCCCAAGAGGACCCCAAGGATCACCAAGATTCTAGGATCCCAAGTTCCCGTCTTGGTTGCGCAGTCTGGCAGTCGCCATGTCGCGTCGAGATGTGCCAGATGACTTTTTGTTGATCACCTTCATCCCTGTGATCCTATCCGTCTTCCCTTCAACCCTCCTCTTGCATCACATTGTTATGATTATTATTATTATTATTACTTCACCTCCACTCCTTTGTCCTCAGTCCTTTTCTATAGACGTGTGTCTCGTAGGACCCTGATTTATTCTTTTCTATCTATCATCGATCAATCGTCGAGTCTCTTTTGTCTCCCTACCTCCCCCACTCTCGTGCCGACCGGTGCCTCGTTCCAAGTCGTTGAAATGCCCGGCTCAAATGGAAGAGGTGTTTAGAAAGTCCATTGGTACCTCGACATCTCTGTGAACGTCTCTTCTCTCCTATTCCTGGACCATGCCTTCGAAATCCCTCCCCGAACGTGGTCGTTCTACCCTTCGCCGGGATCAGAATGTTACTCCACCACAGAACACGACACCCTCCTCGGACGATCGGTCTTCGAGAAGAAGCACCGCCAAACGCCAGACTTCGTCAAGTCTTTCGTCCAGCAATGAGAAAGCAAAACCAAAGATAGAGAAATGGACATTGGGTATATTGAATGACAAGGAGACAGAAGAAGTCCCAGGAACCGTCCTGCTACTGTCCGCCTACCGCAATGAACCCCTTGGTCTTGAATACCAGCCTGGCCGGCGGAGTAGTTCATCCATGCCTGCTCAGCCCGTGTCGCCCAGGCGTCTCTCGGTGGCATCCCAGAAGAGAACAAAGGATGGCCAAGTCATCTTGGATCCGCAGCCGGATGACTCGTTGAACGATCCTCTCAACTGGCCCGCATGGAGACGCGACATTGCCCTTCTCTCTTTAGGATTCTACTGCATGTTGGGTGGCGGCATGACGCCTCTTCTGGCCGCTGGCTTCAACGATGTTTCCCAGTCGTTTGACGTGAGCTATTCAAGGGTCGCCTTGACTACGGGGTTGTATATGATGGGTCTGGGAGTCGGCAGTGTCGTCTTCTCGCCAACTGCCATTCTCTTCGGAAAGAGACCCGTCTATCTGGGTTCAGCAGTTATGTTCATCCTCACGTCAGTTTGGGGTGCTCTGGCACCTAACTACGCCCAGTTGGCAACCGCCAGGGTGTTCCAGGGAATATCGGTGAGTCCGGTGGAATGTCTACCGTCTGCCACCATTGCAGAAATCTTCTTTTTACACGAGAGAGCGTTTCGTGTTGGGATTTATACCTTGTTGCTTCTTGGTGGGAAGAACTTGGTACCCCTGGTGAGCGCTGTTATCATCAACGCGAAAGGATGGAGATGGGTGTTTTGGTGAGTCTACTCTTGGGGGAGTAATGATCCTGCTAACATGCACAGGGTCGTCGCGCTTATAGCAGGCTTTGGCTTTGTTATTCTTTTTTTCTTTGTTCCCGAGACTTTTTGGGACCGGACTCCCAGACCAAAATCAAGGAGACCAACAGTTCATCGAAGTTGGTCTAATGTTCTTCATCCTTTGCACCAGAACAAAGACAATGCAGCCGGGCACGTGCAGGTTGACAGCACTGCACTCCAATCGGCTATTGAGAAGGCCATGACCCCGAGACAACATAGGCTTCACGAGCAAAACACACACGCAAGGTTTGAGGACGAGCTCGAAGAGAAAACCGAACAGGACGAAGTGGAGGTGAAGGACTTTTCTGAGTCTGGTGAGAAGCCTCCAAAGGATCCAGCATCCGCTACAGATGTGGAAGATGATCTAAATGCCCCGGCAATAGTCGGGGAGAAGACTGAAGAAGCGGAATTGGTTGCACAACCAGAACCCGTCGCCCTTCCTAGAAAGAAGGTCAAACCTACTAGGCTATCTATGCCGCCTCCGCCAGATCCTCACTCCTTTAACAGATCCTGGGACGGAGCACATGGTGGTATGGTGGAAACGTCGACCCCTTCAAGGGCCCCTCAAGGTGAAAAAGACGCATCTGTTCCACATCTGCATAACCTCAATTCCCCTTACTACGCCGAAATGGAGGGAACGGGTGACTATCTCGGGCACCATTCCACCCCCGATTCAAGAAACGATAGATTTAGAGATCCCAACCCAAATGTGGTGAGGTCTGACACAGCTGTCACGTTGCCTGGTACCCCTAGTGAAGGATTACCCTCTCCCAGACTCGTCCGTTACACGACCAATCTCAAACACGCGCCACCAAGAACATATGTCGAAACTCTTCGACCCTGGAACGGCCGGCTGTCCAAGGCCAGTTGGTTTCGCGTTGCTCTTCGGCCTTTTATCCTCTTTGCTTATCCGAGCGTCCTTTGGTCAACGTTGGTATACTCGTTGTCGATTGGATGGCTGATTGTGCTGTCAGAGGCCATGTCTGAGGTCTACCGAAGCCAGGAGACGTATAACTTTACCGCCCTCCAAGCTGGGCTGGTCTACATTTCACCGTTTATCGGTGGCATTCTGGGCACAGCAGTGGCGGGACGGGTATCTGACATCATTGTGCGATTCATGGCTCGCAAGAACGGTGGTGTCTACGAACCGGAATTTCGACTGGTCATGGCTATTCCGGTCGCTATCAGCACGACTATCGGCCTCATGGGCTTTGGCTGGTCTGTCGAAGAACGGGACGCATGGATTGTGCCTACCTTCTTCTTTGGGGTGATTTCCTTTGGATGCTCTCTGGGAAGTACAACGTCCATCACATTTTGTGTTGACAGCTACAGGCAGTATGCTGGTGAGGCACTAGTGACGCTGAACTTTAGCAAGAACATCTTTCACGGTCTTGTGTTTAGTCTGTTCTTTGCGAGCTGGCTGGAGAATGACGGGCCCAAGACCACCTTCTTGGCGATTGGGGGGATTCAGATTGCATGCATGGTGACGGCCATTCCGATGTACATTTACGGGAAGAGGGCTAGGATGTGGACTGTCAGGAGAGCATTCATGGAAAACTTTTGAGTTCTCAAGGCCTGGGGCTCTGAGGAGAACTCAAAAGATGGTCTGGTTATGGCGACATGAACCTTTGGTATCTCTTGTTTGTCGACAGATTGTTTGAACGACTTGGATCATGACGACTGGCATTTCTCTGCATAGCGGTGGCGTTGGTTACACTTTTTGTGAAACCCGAACTGGATTTACCGTCCATGATCAGGGGAATCAAGTGCGCAGCTCTTGAATGCATGACAACAGCAAATGAAGATTGGGGGTAGAACAAGATGCTTAGACACGGGAAAGAGGGAGTGACTTTCATGGCGATGACATGGCGGGGCATGGCAAGGCATGGTATAACTTGGCGTGGCTGGATTTTGAGAACTTCCTACGATATTACGAGTAGATGTACAGGACCTAATGATAAGGAAGCAGTGAAGTTTGCATGCAATGAGTTTACAGTGTGATTCACGAGTTGACGACACGAGCGACAATTGAGTAGGGAGGGAGAGAGGGAGGGAGAGGGGTTTCTCAGGGTTATCGTTTGGGGTTTTCGTACCACGGTGACGGAGTAATGAAGTGTTGGGTAGATTTGTGTATGGACACCAGATATAGAGAGAGTAGAGAGACCTAGGCGGGACAACACAGTCGTCACAGTGGACCAACACAAAGTAGAGAAGTCATGGTATTTTGCATGTAGTGGGAGGGGGGGTGAATTCAGAAGGAGGAAACTCGGGATGTGGGGAGATTCCAATGACAGAAAATGGGAATCAAGGGATTCTAATGACAGATGGACAAGGGTTGGGCCAAGCGAGGATTTCAATGCCATTGTAGAATGTGCAGATGGGCAAAAAGACGGGGGTTCAAATGACAAATGACGAAAGGGGGACATGTCCTCGTCCTTGTGCTTGTCCTTGGTCGCCGCTGTTCGGATGGGTGTGAAGAGAGGCAGGCTACAGTACAGTAGTATCCCACCGGTTTCTTTGATCTTTTCTCGTCTTCTCTCTAGGAAACGCCGAACGGCCGAACGTT